GCTTCTGCACACAGGCTCCGCTGCCGCAGGTTGCTAGCCCCGTGGCGGGTCAGCGGTGGCTTCAGCGCACGAAAGGGTCACACGTGTAAGGAGGGGTCTTGGTTTGACTTAGGGCTGTAGTTTCCAAGATACAATCTATCGCAGACAATTAGCCTCCTGCATGGCAGCGGTCACCAACCCGTAGATCTTGGAGCCTCTGACAGGTGATCCTGACTGGTTTGGCCAAGAGACTATCAAGCACAGCACTTCAGCTACCTCTTCCCCCAGCACGAAAGGGTCACACGTGTAAGGAGGGGTCTTGGTTTGACTTAGGGCTGTAGTTTCCAAGATACAATCTATCGCAGACAATTAGCCTCCTGCATGGCAGCGGTCACCAACCCGTAGATCTTGGAGCCTCTGACAGGTGATCCTGACTGGTTTGGCCAAGAGACTATCAAGCACAGCACTTCAGCTACCTCTTCCCCCACTGCTGTGCATCTCCTGGAGCTACCTCCCCCCACTTCCTAGGCGCCTCCTGCTTTCTGTGCAGAGTAGGGAAGGGAGGGGAGGGGGCATGATGTCAAGGGGCCCCCTCTCCCACCCTGTATTCTATCTCCACAGAATGGAAGGGGGCACAACAGGGCTTGGGATAGAGGGAGTTTGCTGGCTGCTTTTGAGTGTGGTGCAGGGCCAGGGCAGGGGTGAGCCTGTCTTAAGCCCGCTACACCACCACCCAGGAGCCTCCTGAGGTAAGCAGTGTCCAGCTGGAGCCAACTCAGAACCCCTGCCCCAGTCATGCACCCCAAGCTCTGCCCTAGCCCTAGCCCTGAGCCCCTGGACTCAAACTTCTTTACAGAGCTCATACCTTGAACCCCCTCCTGCACCCCAGCTCCCTGCCCCAGGCTGAGCTCAGAGCCCCTCTCCCACTCTAAATCCCTTAGCCCAAGACCAGATCTTGTGCCCCAACCCTCTGTCCATGCCTGGTGAAAAGGAGGGAGGATGGGGGAGGCAGGGCCTCGGAGAAGAGGCACGAAAGAGGCAGGGGAAGGGGATATGGGTTTAAGGTAGATCCTGGATTGCATTTAAATTCAAAACGTGATCTTGTGCTTAAAAAAGTTGGAGACCACTGCCATAAGGAGACCCACATTTATATTATCTACTTTTGTATGTAGACACCAAGCCACCGCTAATATAAACACTGCATCTCTAACGTTCCCAGGTTTTTGCTCCTGTTTATATTTGCAGCATCCATGTACACATCAACAAGCAATGGGCCTGACCCCCCACTCTCATCTACACCAGTTATAGAGTTGTGTAGCTTCATGGACTTGAATAGCATTACTCCCCATTTATACTAGCACAGATGAGAGGAGAATCAAATCCAAATCTGACCTGGCTACGCTCTGTTTAAAGAGTTTCTTCTGATCCTCAGCAGCATATCTACAGTAAGTTGAAAGAACGCGGCAGTTTTGTTGATGGCGGTAAACCTAATTCTACGAGGAATAACACCTTATTTTCGACATAACTGTCGAAAAAAGGCGCTATTGCATCCACACTGTGCTTTTTCAAAAGAGAGCATCTAGGCTCTCTGTCGAAAAAGCGGCTTGCTTTGTTGACAGAACTGGCTGTAGTCTAGATGCTCTTTCTCAACAGAGGCTTTGTCAACAGTATCTGTTAACAAAGCCTCTGTGGACAAAAGCCTGTAGTCTAGATGTACCCCCTGACTGACTTCCTTCTGACCCCAAACTGCTGAGGTAAATAAGGAGTGTCTCCACTGAAGTTTTAATGAAGTTACATGAGTATAAACAAGCAGGGACTCTGAACCAGAGCATGTTGAAGAACACATAGTTCCTACAGACCTAAGCAGGAATAACTTGGGACAAGTTAAAGGTTCTGAGAATATTTTGTTTCCAGGTGGATGAATTGGACTTCAATAGCTATAGAGTTTCATTACTTTATATAGTGATGTGGTTAATTGTATGGAATTTCCTTGGCAGGTCATAATCATATATCCACATAATTTGTCTTGAGTTTTTCATGTTCGTGCATGTACAGAATAGGGTGGCAAGCAAAGGGATGTGCTAGGGAAAATTTCAATCATAAAAAATATCCATCAAATTCAAACTTTATATAATTACAGAATTATTCACACCTGCTTAGCCTTTATCTGCACTCATCTTAAAGGCCTGGGAGTGGTTTTGTTTTTCTTCCCTATTGCACTATTAGCATATGTTTGGAAAACCTTTTAACTGTGAAGGCCCCAGGGGAAAATGAGTGAGAATGTGCCTGTCCAGATATACCAATTGCATTGATTTGGCATAAACTTAAAAAACAACAAATAGTCTTAAAATACATAATAGGGTGGCAAGCAAAGGTATGTGATAGTAAAAATTTCAAAAACTTAAAAAACTCGACTACCCCCTGAAGCTATTGATTGGGCAGTTTGGGG